ATATTTGACTTTGACATCAGATATAACATTTCATTAATTTAAATATTTCTATAAGGCAGTAGTTGCATAAATAATTATGCCTGTAATCAGTAACTCTGCTTGCTTCAGTCGAGTCATGTAAGGTAGTTAGTCAGCTCCTCAAGTACATCACATTAGAAATAAAACCCCAACAATCTTAGGTTTTATGTTTTGGCTTTTCTACAGTATCTTGAGCATTGTGAGGTACAACACCTATTCAACAAGGTACTACCTGCCATGGTGGACCTGGCTCTAAATGCTCCTCGCCTCTGCACAATGGTAAGAGTTCAGTTTTACCCTCTTCTGTTCAGTTTTTGTTCAGTGAGCTCATGTTGTTATGACTGACTAATGATGGTAACAAACAGGACTCTTAGAGTAATGCCCTGGGAGGAGATACCAAGTTTTTATTAAGCTCTACAGAATCAACTTATTAGTTAGGAGTGGCATATAATAAGTCTAATGCTTCATATTATACAATAGAAGGAAATAAGGTGTAAAAGTTATATCTGTTTTAGGTTTTATGCTTGAGCACTTTAAAGAAAGTGCTTTGTTCTCACACTCGGTCTGTTAACTTGGACAGATTACGCCTGCTAATAATCTACACCATCAATTTTCTTCCACTAAGGATCTGATTTTGGGATAACATGTTTGACATGCTTCCTGTTGGATCTAAAGAACCCCTCTTTTTTCAATTTACATTAAATGGAGTAGGTTCATGCTACAGGTGCTGCTAAATGTCATCTTCATTTGTCTTTGTTTTCATCCTGTCATTAATTATAGCAATACAAAAATTACAAGATTGGTATTTTTGTAATGGTATTATCTATGTCAGAGTCTTGAGTTTAATTTAATTTACTGGATTCACCTCCCACTCCTGGAAGAAAAAAAAAACAGTAAACATCTAGTAGCTTTTTGTTTGATTTAATCTTTAAAAAGATGAATATATTTTTTGCCATGACGCTCTCAGACTCTGTGGTTTTAGGTGTGAAGGCTAATATTTATGTGTGTGTGTTATTAGAGCTTGTATTGATCTGCCAACTGGGCAGCCATGGGAGACTCTTTAGTCCTAATCAGTGAGGATGGATGAGGCCCATGTGTCTGCCTGAACAAACCTGACGGGGAGCAAAAGAACCGGAACCTTAATTACTACCACCCATTTTCCTAATGGAACCCTCCTTATCTCCTGTTAGCAAGATCGCTAAACTAATTTTCTATCCTCATTAGCCTCCAGCCTACAGTACTACACCCACAAAAACCTTGCATGTTTTTTCATCTTAACAATGTCAATAGCCTTCTGGGTTATGTCTTCTTGCTCTAACACTGTACAGTTGTTTTGATTTTGTCTTTTTTGTGTCTCACACTAGCCGATCCCTTTACTCAAGTCAGGTATGAACCATTCCCTGACTCTGTCTCAGGAGCAAATAGCCTGTCTTTTGGCCAACGCCTTCTTCTGCACATTCCCTCGACGCAACTCCCGCAAGTCGGAGTACAGCAATTATCCTGAGATCAACTTTTGCAGGTATCAGTACACTGATGCAGGGATTGTATAAAGGCACCAAACACTTCTTGCGTCTTGCTGAGTCCTTTTCTTAAAATCAGGAGACGGTGGAGATCACGGCTGCCAGCTTCTGCTGTCTGCTGCCCAAGTTTAATCACACTGGAACAGGATCAAAATAGCCTTCATTGTTTTCACCTGAATAAGTAATTAGTAACCATTAATCAAATATTTTGTGATTTAGTTTTAATTTTCTTCATTTTCTATCTAATCAAAAGTGACTTGTCTTTTGGGAAAACCTAGGATGGCTTAATGGAAAAAATATGTCATAACAATTACTTTCTCTAGATATCCTCTCAAATCAGTTTACTCCAGTGTTTGGTGGGCAGATCCATCTTGCTACTGACAGCATGATGCTGTATACATTTTTTACTTTGTAGTTTACACTGGAATTGTTGTCTTGGGGTAACTGTTGATCCTATCTGAAGAATGTAAATATGCATCCAAAGTGAAACATGTTTTAGTAGTTTTTTTTTTAATTTACATGAATCAGAACTGCTGTCCAAATTCACCATGGGCATTTACTTTGAGTGAGGTTTGTAAATTGTTTTGAATTGCATGTTTCCCCCACACACATTTTTCGTTTTGTTTAAACTTTAATCATACTTTCACTATTGATAGGTACATTTAAGGATACTACATTTTATCAGTTGCAAAGTTGGCTGTTTCAGAACCACTTGAGTCTGTTTCCAGCATTTCTGCCTGCAGCGAAATCCAGGAAAGAGCAATGGTGTCTGAGAAGATGAAACAAGACAAGCGCTGCAGTCTAAAATGGGCCCTGGATCGTTACCGGCCCTCCCTTTCTCTCTGTAATTGAGGGAGTGTCCGTCACTTTGCTTATTGGCTACAGTAACTCTCTGTCTTGGACAAGCAGAGCAGCAGGCAATCTGCTGATTGCTGTTTTGACAAAAGTGTCAAGGTTTGTCCTCCGTTAAGTGATGGATGGATTCAAGGAGCAGCACAGAAGGCAGGAGACTTCTTTGGATTGTGTTTTCTGCTGTTTGAGAAGAAGACGATACAGACTCTGTTAAACAGTTTTCAACAAGGAAACTTTATACTTTGATCTGTGAGTCATTAAAAAATAGTCAGCCTCACTTAAAAGTTTTATTAGATGATAATCTGACAGTCAAAACAGTCACATTTCTCATCTTTTAAAAGAAAATTGCAAATACATTTTATAATTGAAATAAGGTTTAATTAAAACCTGCCACCTTACTTTAGAAACATCTACATTAGTTTCTATTTTAAATTTTAGTTTGATTTGCATCTGTGCTTGTAATCCTGCCTTGATCGAGCTCTGGTTTTACTCTGTAACAGGGTTGTTGCTCTCTGACCAAACTGACACTAAAGGATGTTGTGGGTTGGGGAAAGTTCACACAGCATTAGTTAAATCCTCTTTTAAAGAATTTAAAAGTGGAGAAAAGCATACTTCATATGCAGGACTGGTCTTTTGATGAATATTGTTTTGTTTTTTATTTACTGAAGTGCTTTTTATGCTCTAAATTGCTATTTTGATTTGATCCCCGTGTTTTAATTCTTTACTGAACTGGGCAGAAAGCAGTGGGAAGCAAAAATGAATGCTGAACTGTAATTAGTCATCAGATTAGGTTTTTTGTTGGAAGGAGTGGGCCAGTATGGGGTGATTTAAGCTGCCCATCCAGCACTCTCTCCTTGTTCTTCCAGCCTACATTTTTAGTAACTTCAAGGAGCTGAGACAGAGCCTCAGGCGTTGACATTGTAGGGAGATGGAAGAAACATCATGCCAGTTAGAAAGCTTGACTTCACTCATGTTGCTGTAGCCTGGTTGTGCCGTGAGTTATAGATAACTCAGTGAAACATAAATGTCTTTTAACTACTGAAGCATAAAACAGCGTTTTATTTGCATTTAAATTATTTAACATTTCATTAGTGCATTTTATCAATAAATATAATTTTGTGGTTTGTCCACTCAAATGTCTGTTTTATTTTTGTTTCAGGTTATTTGAAGGTTCCTCACCAAGAAAAATTGAGAAGTTGAAAACTCTGTTGTGTTACTTCCAAAGAGTAACTCAGACTAGTAAGCCCTATAAATTCTTGGTCTGTTATTTTCTGCCGAAAACTTTTTATGATTTTACCTGTAATCCTTTGTTTTTGAAGAACCCAAGGGTCTTGTTACATTCACAAGACAAGCTCTTAACCATCCACCAAACTGGGAAAGGTAATCACTGGTTGTCATTAGACTTCGATCCAAAAGCAATAATTGTCCATATCTAAGAGAATGTCTGTAATCTTTTGTTTGGTAAGGTCTCAGACTCAGTTTACACGTCTACATATCACCTGTGAAGGGACAATTGAAAATGAAGGATACGGGATGCTGCAGGTAGGAATTATTTAAGAGATCTTTTTATCAAATGCAAAGTCTAACTAGTTATTTAAAAGCATGTTTTAGTCATGATGTTTATTTTCTAAAAGTGATTTTAATGCAAAGTTTAAATTCATATTGCTCAAATATATTCTTGGAATGTATACATGTAAGTATTAAACTTAATGGAAAAAACAACTTTTAGGCTGGTAGATGTAGTTAATAAATGCATATTTTAATTTTAGCTTTGGATTTTAATGTTTTGATGTTTATCCTGGAGAGATTGACATTCAAGGCAAACACTTTGTACTTGCTGATGTTGAAACAAAAAAAAAAATCACTTTTTTTTCTTTCTTGCTTTAAAAGTAAGAGACTGCCTTATAACACTTATTGTTTAATTTTAATGTTTTTTAAGTGGCTTTGCACGTGCCTGCAGTGATTCACTCCATTGTCTCAACCCTTTGTGATCTTCTATGACTGCTGTATTTTTTTTTGTCTCTGGTTGACAGCATATATATACACACATGAGTAGCTCAGAGTGGCAAGGGTGGAGGAGAGGACCCTTGGGTGGGGAATGAAAGAGAAAGGCACATGTAGAAAACAAAATGATGAGGGTGAGGCATTTCACTGGGATGACCCAGTGGGCCAAGAGTCCTGCAAGGGGGATTGACGGCTACCTCAGCAGGCCATACGCTGGCTGCGTGTTGAGTTTTGATAGGGCAGAGTGGGCTGTCATCCTGTCAGGAGGTGATATTGAAGGGTGGGGGTGAGATTAGGGTGGACCCAAAGAAGAAAAATGGAGGGAGGAGTTGGGTGACTGGTTAAAAACATACACACTTGCACAAACAAACACACTTACTGTCACACAGATTGACGTAGCTGTGGGCCACTGAGCAGAACCTTCACCTCTGACGGGATGTATATCAGCATTGTGATTGATTGGACTGCTCTTTTATCTGTGCCACAAAAACATGGACTTGGCTTACAAGGCATGAAGGTCTAGTACCACCAAAATAAGATATTTCCTGCCCTTTAAAGAGCAATTTCAGAAATATGCATAAGCAGTAGTAAATTGTCATAGATCTGTGTACACTTGGATTTGTTTCAGTCTAGTTATAAATATTGCAATAATACAAAAGAATTTCAAGGCATAATATTGTACATCCAAATTAGACATTTTATACAAAAATACATTATGATGTTAATTTTCTTCTTATACAAATCATTTAATATTGATAGATTAAAGTATTTGACATGTTTATAATTTTTATTGATCTTTCAGGCATTGAAAGATGCAAATTTGTTTTAGCCATGTTAAATAAATTACATGTGACAATGACTCATATCATCCAAAGGGTTGGTTAATGTCAGTCTCAACAACTCAATGTTTCAACAACAGTTAATAAATAAAAGGTTGAATTTTTACCAATAAGTAAAAATTGAAGGTTTTTAACTTTTTTAAATACCAAAATAAGGAGGTCAAGTTGCTTTAAAAAACATTTTAGACAATCAGCATTATTACTGTTTATTCTGAGTGTAGTTTAAAGTTGTGCTCAAATATTAACGTTTTCATCCAGTAATTTACAAAATTAGTAGTATTGCTGTTAACAGATGTTTTTACCAATTGACACCCTTAAAATGTACTTGTTTGTTGGGTTAGACAATGAAACTGAAACACCTTGTTTAGACCACAATAATTTATTAGTTATTTTATTAGTTATTTTATTAGTAATTTATTATTGTAGGGCCTCTTTTTGTGGCAAAAACAGCGTCAATTCGTCTTGGGAATGACATATACAAGTCCTGCACAGTGGTCAGAGGGATTTTAAGCCATTCTTCTTGCAGGATAGTGGCCAGGTCAGTACGTGGTGCTGGAGGAGGAAAACGTTTCCTGACTTGCTCCTCCAAAACACCGCAAAGTGGCTCAGTAATATTTAGATCTGGTGACTGGACAGGCGAGGGAGATGTTCAACTTCACTTTCATGTTCTTCAGACCAATCTTTCACCTGTCTTGCTGTGTGTATTGGTGCATTGTCATTCTGATACATGGCACCGCATTCAGGATATAATGTTTGAATCATTGGATGCACATGGTCTTCCAGAATGGTTCAGTAGTCCTTGGCGGTGATGTGCCCATCTAGTACTAGTATTGGGCCAAGGGAATGCCATGGTATGGCAGCCCAAACCATCACTGATCCACCCCCATGCTTCACTCTGGACATGCAACAGTCTGGGTGGTATGCTTCTTTGGGGCTTCTCCACACCGTAACTCTCCCGGATGTGGGGAAAACAGTAAAGGTGGGCTCATCAGAGAACAATACATGTTTCACATTGTCCACAGCCCAAGATTTGCGCTTCTTGCACCATTGAAACCAACGTTTGGCACTGGCACGAGTGACCAAAGGTTGGCTATAGCAGCCCGGCCATGTGTATTGACCCTGTGGAGCTCCCGATGGACAGCTCTGGTGGAAACAGGAGAGTTGAGGTGCACATTTAATTCTGCCGTGATTTGGGCAGCCGTGGTTTTATGATTTTTGGATACAGTCCGGGTTAACACGCAAACATCCCTTTCAGACAGCTGCTTCTTGCGTCCACATTTAATCCTGTTGGATGTGGTTCATCCTTCTTGGTGGTATGCTGACATTACCCTGGATACCGTGGCTCTTGAGACATCACAAAGACTTGCTGTCTTGGTCACAGATACACCAGCAAGACGTGCACCAACAATTTGTCCTCTTTTGAACTCTGGTGTATCACCCATAATGTTGTGTGCATTGCAATATTTTGAGGAAAACTGTGCTATTACCCTTCTAATTGAACCTTCACACTCTGCTCTTACTGGTGCAATGTGCAATTAATGAAGATTGGCCACCAGGCTGGTCCAATTTAGCCATGAAACCTCCTACACTAAAATGACAGGTGTTTCACTTTCATTGTCCGACGTGTGTGTGTGTGTGTGTATGTATATATGTGTGTGTGTGTGTGTGTGTGTGTGTGTGTGTGTGTGT